CGTCGTGTGTGTGTGTGTGTGTGTGTGTGTGTGTGTGTGTGTGTGTGTGTGTGTGTGTGTGATGCGCGCGCGCGGTCGCGCGAGATAATATGTTATCGCCATTTCGTTATCGCACTCTCGTTGAAGTTGCTGCGCTCCTCCGTATCTTCGGCCGAGTAACCCCTGAGGGTGTCCTTCCCGCTGATGCTGCGGGCAGGGAGCCTTGTGGAAGGGATGAGCTTCTTCTTGTTCCACTGCGTAATATTATGCGCTTTTACCCCCGGGCCAGCCGAAACGGCTCTTGCGCGTGTACGTGCGAATGCGTGTACCGTCATATTGGCATCTGCCCCGTATATCGCCCGCGGCGACACAACTCTTGTGCTTTTTCTTCTTCCCTTCGCATATTTTTCAATTGCGTTCGTTATAAGAGAAATAGAAAGAGAAATTTCAAGCAAAATTGAGTATGGCGATATTGCGGTCCGATGGAAATGTCAACGACTCTCCTGCGACCTTTTAACGCATTCATTTCATTTTTCAACTTGTCTTCTTCGTCGTCATCTGTAATTGCCACGTTATTCCGCTTCGACTTTACACCTATTTTCTCATTTGCCACATATTCCCCAGCATATTATAATATACGTATACAAGCGTACCATGAAAAATGATAGAATGACAAAAGTTGCTTTTATTCTTTTCCTGCATTGAAAGTTTATACACTTATTTTAAAGTTTTCATCTTTACATTAAGTCAAATGATTTTTTTATATCACCAGATTGCGTATAATTTATCATAGAAGTCTCGTTTTATTCTTTTTAACAATTTTTCAGAATCTGTTCGTTCCAATTCATTATTTCTAAAGATAATTTAGCTCAGAGGAAGATAAAAGAAATATAAAAGCGTAGATAAAAGCGTAAATTATTCACAAATAAAATGAGGCGAACGTATTACTATTGTTTGATATATTTTATCTTGCCTTTCCTCTTCTTCTTTTCTATACGATTCTCGATCGTCGAGGGCTAACCAATACGGTTTTGTGTATGTCGGTACACAGATATACACGTATTATCTTACGTTCTGGCCGCATTGCCCATGGCGAAGCATACTCTTCCCTTCGTATACGTTCTTTCTTTTTCTTTTTTTTTCTCTTATTCTCTTCTCTCGTATCTGTCCTTCTTTTCGCCATCTCTCTTATACATGTTGTTCCTTGACCGACCTCTTGTCAACCGTCTCAGCTCGCCTCCGCTCCGGGCAACTTTTCTTTCCGGATAAAACTTCACGGTATATTCCGCTTGCCTTCTCCTTTCCCTTGTTTTCTTGCCCTTTCCTCTTCTTGACTTGTCTTTAAAATTATGATTGTTCGAGGAATATAAGAGGAATATTCTAATCTTGAACAATGGCTTCTGGTCTTCTACAATACTATCGATGAGAAGTTTAATTTGAGATCAGATTTGATAATTGATTTGATAGTTTGAAAATATTTATTTACAGACAGTGAAACTGCAGATCAAAATGCAAAACTTCTAAATAAAAATGACGAAAAATTTGTCGTTTGATGTCAATAATATCAGGTGTCTTAATACAGTTTGTCTTAATCTAGAATTCAATATTATATTATTTGATTTGATTTGAGATGATAATAGATTTTAATTTTTTATTGAATAATTTTATATGCTATTACTAATGTATTAGTATATATTATTGATAATCCTGATATTATTGATAGAATAATAGATTTAGTTAAATCAAAATAATTAGGTGAGTGTAATTATAAACAATTTTAATTTAAAAACTTATTTGTTCTAAATATATAAATTACATAAATATATAAATTACATTCAATTTTTATCTTTATATACTGAAAAATGTAGGAAGCATTTACTTTAAAATCAAAATATAAATAGTTTCGAACAGTTTATTATAATATCGATACATAGAATCACAGCTTATTACTATTTTTTAAATATTTGTAGAAATTTAAGAAATCTTCAAAGTAAGTGATTTATATGAAAGTGATAGATATAATTATACTCATAACAAATTTGCTTTGTAAGATACTATTTGTGACTGATACATATTTCATTTTCTTATAAATTTTTCGTTTTTTAGATCCAGTTTTGTTATAATTATACAAATCCAATAAGATTTTCTCGCATGTTGTAATACATATTGAAAAAAAATGTATGCTTATTTTTAATACAGAAAAATAAATTTTATAAAATAATAATTATATTACATATATTTCTTGTTGTTAGAAAATTAAGAATATATTGAACATTAAATTATTATTTTGATATTTTATTATAATTAAACTAGGACATGTAAGTAATCTGAGCGAGATAATATTTTGGATCATTGTTAATAATTTAGTCCGTTTTAGACCAAAACACAACAGACTTGATTGCCTGTGCAATCAACTACATCGCGTTTTAAAACCGAAGGACAAGAGTCCATACAGATTCCACCATGGTGACGGCAATGAGTTCTGAATTCTGTTTTCACTGTAATAATAAGAAAAAATAATTTTTAAAAAAAGTTATTAATTACTTATAAAGAATAAATATTCTTCGCATTAAAGAAAATTACAATTTTTTTTTAATTATAAATTTTATTATTGCTATAACAAAGGAAATTTTAATGTTCTTCACAATTTAGTAAATATTTTATTATAACAATACTTTTCTAAATATCAAGATTTATTAGAAATTATCATTTATTAGAAATTAATGAATTATAAGACTTATAACTCGCTATCCAAAAATAGCGCATAAATTAATTTGCCGGAAAAAATTATAATATAATAAGATAGTGATGAAATTAAAAATTTATAATATGATAAGATAAATTCCATAAAAATGTATATATTTTATTTCTAATTCTAAAATTTCGCACGTATCATGTGTCACGAAAATATTAATCGAATAATTAATGCGTATAACGCGTTAATTATTAATTAGAATAAGATTAATATAAAATGATATATTTGTGTTCTCAAATATCAAAAGTAAAGGTTCACAACGTGATAACGAAATCTTCTTAGAAGATATATTTCTTTATTCCGTATAATCAAATATTATTTTTTTAAGCAATATAATAATATTATATTATATTATAATTATAATATTATATTATATTAATTATATATATATATATAATGTGCAAACTTACCTACACTGCAGCATGATGTACCTTGTTCATGACAGAGAACATCACCTTTGATCGATTCATCGCAACGTTCAAGTGTAACACAGTTTTCTTGTGGACATATTTCTTTTGCATATGTATATTCTGGAAACAAATTTTGTACTTCATTAAAATTGCAAATTTGCGCCTTGATATTGAATTTGAAACTCTCCTTGTTGCATTTCGTTTATCAAAAATTATTAAATAGTGAAATATCATTCTTTAAACTATGTATGTTCAAATTATATTGTTTGGTACAATTAAATGTTATTTAATCATACAAGGTTAACTATACTAACCTTGGAGA